TGGACTGTTGTGAAGTGAGTGCAAAGCCTCTTGAGTTTGAAAAGGTGAATTTGCATCCTTTACACTCAGGGCTAATTGCTGGCTTTTCAATTAGCAATAAAGCAACCTGAGTTGTTTTTGAAATCTGGTCTACTCAGGCAAAAGGAGGAATATTTCCTCCTCCTTTCTCAGTAGAACTGGCTCCAGGCTGCTGGCTGTTTTCATGCTCCCCTGTTCCCTTCCTCTAATAGTTAAACTGGGTTGATAGCAAGCTTTTAGTTACTCTTGTCATAAAATTATGCCTAATTCTCTCCATGCCCACTAAAAATGCATTTAAAGTTTTGCAGCTTCTGAGTAGGCGATGACAATTTCCTGAAATGACAAGAATCATGAATTTACAATCAACTTGGTATTCAGATGAACAGCCACGAGCTGCACTTGCTCTTGTGAAACGTAAGCAACAGTGTTGTGGGGATTCCCTTCAAATCTCAGTCCTCCTGGTGGTACTTGAGCATCCTTAAGTAGCTGTCTATTTGTTATTTCCAGCAGCAGCTACTCTTTTCTTACATGCTGTAAAGGATGTGTAAGAAGTTATTATGAGAGAGGAACGAGGAATAACTGGAGAATCTTTCTGGATCCGTGGGTAAGGGGATCCAGGAATGCAGCTCAGAAACATCAGCAAGAGATCAGTGAGGATATGCTGTAGCTTCAATGTGCTCCTTCATCACTGGCACAGTTCATAATCAGAATAGACGTAGACCCAGAGAGAAATCTCAGCAAATGCTGGCAGCTCTTCCTCACATCCCCAACAAATGCAAGGCTTGTTTCCTCCATAATTTTGCTGTCTAGTCCTATATGCAAAGCTCTACTATATTTACAGGATGTATAAGTTCCCTTTTTTCCACCCAGCTGTATTGTAGGCCCCACCTCAAATGCTAACCCAGGGATGTGAAATGTGGTTTCCTGATTACTTGCTCACAGACAGCATGTCCGTGTCCTGCTGTATAAATGATTTGCGGGAATTTTTTGAAAATGTCATACACACATAAATCTTGAGATGATTCCTACTCGTGCTGGTTTGTGGGGCTTGTCTTTGTGAATTTATGGTTTACAGGAAACCAAATGTGCATCCTACTGGAAATTACTGGAAGAAAATGCTAGTCTTATTTAACTGGAATTCGGAAAGCAGTTTTTCTAGCACCTTTGCAGATGCTCCTAAAAAAAAGCAGTAGAAAAATTATTGGTACTGCATTTCTCTCTTTCTCCCTCTGTAGGTGGAGCACACCGCCTGCAACCTCTGGAATTCTGTGATTTCTCTTGTGAGAAGTGTTGGTCATTTCCAGCTTGAGTATCTTTATGTGGGCTTGCATTTCAGGGTCTTCTCCAGTGCATAATTCAGGTACCCTCCTCTGTCCAGTGGCGGTAGCTGTCAGGAAATCACACACCTGTGGGTGTTCCTGTCACTTCTTGGGGTCTTTGTGGCTGTTTAGGATCACTCTCTAGGGCATCTTCTCTTGAGATGCCCATCAGGTGCTCTATGTGAGTAGTGGGACAGAGAATCTCCTGACTAAGGCATGAGAGCACAGGTCTCCTCTGTGCACCTCCTCACATGCAGAGCATGGCCTGCAGCCTCACCACTGCACCCTGAAAGAGCTAAGGGGCTTCTCTGACCCAGTGCCTGCTCTGGGTTGAAGCCTGTACCTTGGGGAAGAGAGGGGAATCAGGAAGGGGGGCTGCCCACAAGTGAACTGAGCCCTACCTGCAAGAGAACGGGAGCTCATCAGACCTCATGCTCTGTGCCAGAGACCTGTAAAACAGGCAACAGTGTCTACTGAGAGGTTGCTTTGTAGCCATGGCTGTAACTGTCAAAGCTTTGTGTAATTTTTTTGAGATTTCTCAGTATGTTCCCATTAGAGGGAAGAGCGTAGTGATTCACTGTTACCGTATGCACCAAGAGCAGTTTGCCAAAACCACAGTGGCTGGAAGCTGCTGCCTCCTTCAGGAGGGCTGCACTCTAGTCAGAGCAGTGTTCCACACTTCCACTGGCACCAGACAGCGTCTCTTAAGGTTGCGTAATTCAAGTTGCAGTGTGGAAACGAGGGAGGAATCTGTGGACACATCCACTAAGAGGACTATTAAGGATGTGCTGGTCTGAGCTTTCTCCCCAGACACATTTTTTGGCTGTGCTCCACATTAGGCTTAGCTGAGCTTAACTGAGTTGTTTGTGACAGCTCTCCAATGTTCTCCTTCCTTTATCCTAGCATGAGGGTCAAAGGAAGCTCTCTTCCCCATGTTGGGAAGAAACAGGGTGAGGGGATCAGTTGGTAAAATGCTGCAACCCCTTCAACTCTGGGAACAGTTAGCAGTTCAAGAAGGGGTTGAGATGAGAGCTGAGGGTACTGTTTGGAGGGCAGAAGTTAGTTTTTGCCCATGTTTCTATCCAACTCACAAACCATCAAGTAACTGCATCTTTCCTTTAATAAATGCTTTTTCTCTTCAGAAACTGCATGCTGTTTCACTGTTGAAATCCTTGCTTTTGAAGAATGTGTTCCTGCTATTTCTACAACAGTAGTTTTTTGGCACTCCAATAGTCTTTAGGATGTCGCTACCACTGTGCTGGGTGGGTCTGAGTGGTTTGGTGTTCATACACAGATCTGTGCCTGGCTTCCTCTCCTTATGGTTAGTTCATATGATGGACACAAGGCATAGCTAAACTCTTGTTTTCTGTGGTATTTCAGAACAGCTTTATTCTTGACTATCCAGAGGAATTTGCAAATAAATGAGTCTTACCCACCTTTACAACATAAAACTTCTGTATTTTCTAATATTAAGTGGAAGGCTTTGGTTTGTTTTGCTGTTTAAAGAACAGAGGGGGTCTGGCATTCTGTTAAGTGACCACTGATTATTCATTCTGGACACATTTCCTTGTGTTTCAGGATGGAAACCAAGCAGCATGATTTGAACTGTGTGCTCACCCTCTCTATTGAGTGTACACCCCAAAACATGTGGTGTGCCAGTATTGTCTAGTGCAGCTTGGCAGTAGGGTTGTGGCTACTTCAGGGTCTAGAAAGGGTCTGTGCTTTTGTTATTGTGAGGGAAAGCAGATCCTGGTGTTCTGAAAGCACTGGTAAAAACTGACATAATGGGAGAAGCAATTGTGTCATAGCAACTTCCTTGTCCAGCAATTAAGAGTGGGTGTTCACACTCCTCAGCTTGTCCCTGAGGCAGGGACAGGAGGAGATGAACTTCAGAATATGACCAGCTGTCAAGATGGAATTTATTAGAGACTACTGTTATTAGCTCTGGTATTTCTGTTGACAAACAAGCGTGAGAATCTCTCTTACCACCTCACTCTGTCACAGGAGAGCATTAAAAGTAATTAAGTCTTGAAGATAATCGTTAATTACAGCTCTGCCATATCTCAGAAACTGCTGGTTACTCATCTGTCACAGAGCTGGTGTGTGCTCTGAACGCTCTGCCTTGTTGCCTGAGATGAATAAGGCTGTGCTCTGAGCCAGTGTAGCTGGGTTAGCTCCACTAAAGCAAGCAGAATAAGGTGAGACACATCCAACAGTGTTCTGACTTTTAGACATTGTGTCTACTCCTGAATGTTCCAGCTTCAGTGGACTTTGACTTGGGCCATATATCTACGAGAACGTTGCTCTATAACACCCAGCAGTTTCCATAATGGTAAATTCCCAGGGAAGAAACAAGTTCTTTTTTTTGTTAAATGCACTGTTGGGTTTCAGTTCCAACAGCAAACTAGAAAGGTCTCAGAAATATTCCAGTCAATCTCACAGCATCTTAAAATATCTCTCCCTAATTAAACAATATCCAATTCATTTCTTGTGTTGAAACAGAATGAAGCAATTCATCTATGTTGTGGTTTTGAGCCCATTATGGACAGTGTTTTTTACAGTGTGGATTGAATAAAGACCTACAAAATAAATTATTTCAATTCTTCAAGCTTCATCCTGGCTAGCCTCTCAAAACACAAAATTGAATACAGTATTAAATATTGAACCCTTGTTGAAACTGCTGCATTTGCTATCAAGCTGCTTTATTTTAAGGGCTTTCAATGTAATCTTGAGTAACTTTCAGAAATTTTTACTATTGTTTGACATGTGATCTAATTTGACCCAGCAGATACATATTCAACAATATAAATTCCACCAGGACAAACAGTATATTGGTACTGAATAAGGTTTGATCAGTGTTCTGCTGCTGAATTTAAGGATATTCTCTAGAATTAGATGAAGCTGGCAGCATGGAGTAGTTGGCTGAAGTTACACGCAACTCTACCAGAATGGATTCATGGTGTAACAGTCTGTGTTGCAATATTAATTACTTATTTTACAATTGTTGGAAAGGATCATAAATCAGAAAAGTATGAGCAAAAGTAGTGGAATTCCACATAACTGCCCTTTGCTAACTTTTCTTCAAGACCTTTCCCCATCCTACTTGGTTCTGTAGGCAGTGTCCTAAAGTGAGCTTAGATTGCTGTTGTACTCTCAGCACTCCCCAGCTCTTATTGAAGCCAAATTTATCTTATTTTTTAAAATGTGTTCCATAGTGTGCTCTTAGATCAGGACAATGGTGTTAAATTAGGCAAAACATAATATTTGAAAAGCCTTATTAGGTATGTACAAGTGCTCAAGGAAATGCCAGGTGCAAAGATGCAGTCTGGGGAAGCTGCCATCTACACTCAGAAGTGATGTGAGCAGTGAAGGTTGTGAACGCAGCAAGGAAGAAGCACTGAAGTTACTCCCTAACTCCATGATCCTTCAAAACTTAAGTTTTCCAGAAAAATTCAATTGAGCAGTACTGTTAAATATAGTGTTCTGCTTCAGCTTTTCATTTTGGCTGTGTCTGTTTGAATTCTCATCCAGCCTCCTCCACTCTGTCTGTCTTGGTAGTTTTCCTGCTTCCTTTCCCTGCTTTTGGCGCTCTGCTCCCTGGCTCCCTTGCCAGCCTTCCCCCATACCCTTCCTGCCACAGAGCATGAGAAGGGACTTGCCCACCACAGTGGTCCAGTGAAATGGGGCACTTCTTCCTGGGAGGAGGGGTCAGGCACCACGCAGGCTGCATCAGGTGCTTTCTCTTCGGATGGTTAAAGAGCAGCTATTTCTCAGCCTGTTTCCTAGATTTGGGAAAGAGATCAGGGAATTATAAGGGCTTCTTCTTTTTTCACTTTTTCCCATCCTTCATCTCACAATGCACCCACCTCCTATTTCTTTAAATCTGCATCAGGAAGATAGGCAGGAGGCTGGGGGGAAAAAAAAAAAAAAAAAAAAAAAAGAGTTTTAAAATCATAACAACAGGTGTCTAAGAAAAAGGCAACTTCAGCTGAGGCAGCCTGTGAGTTAAGTTCTGCCAGATTCTTTGTCCATCTCACTTTGCAGCAATGCCCTTGTCTGCCCTGAGTGCAGTCCTCAGCTACTCTTTTCTTTGACTATCCCCACATGTTGGAGGAATTCATGTTCTCATTTAAAATGCTAGTGTTACTGGTTCTGACTTGTCATCTTTTCTTCAGACACTTTTGATACTTGGATGTTTTTTTTCTAGACAGCTCAAGAATCTCACAGTTATGTGAGAAGCTGTTTTTGTTTAAAGATGGTATTTCTCTGGACTTTTTGAAGATGAAGAAAAGTTTGCAAAATAACTTAAATGTTCTCTACAGACAGCAAGGGGGGCAAATCTCTGCTTATTAATATCCTGGAGTTTGATCAACCTTGTTGTTTTAGGCAATGTGACACATACTGGTTTATAGCTGGAGGTTGGGAAAGCTGAGTGCCCAGGCTATTGTCTATATCTGTAAAGAGAAAAATCAAGATCTGACACCCAAACACACTGTGAATTCACTTCCCTGTGCAGAGTCACCTCTCACCTCAGTATCTATATGATCTGAGATACCTTATAAAATATGCACCTAGTTAAGAACTTCAGCAAAATGATCTCCTAAGGTGCATTCAGGTCTGAGGAATGTATTCACACAGCAAGGCTCATGCTTTCTCCCTTAATGCTGCTGGTGACTCTGATGGGAGGGGACTGCTGACCTTTGCAGGTGGAGGAGTTGGACTCTCTTGTCTGTGATGCTGGGAAGTGTAAGCAATGCACCTCACTGACATGGACAGCCTCCCTGGTTCATGCTGTTCCTGGTGATGGCTGAATAGCAGAGCTTTGCAAAGCCCTGCCTTCAGCTGTTCAAGCACAGCAAAGAGGTGACTGTGCCAGTGCCAGGAAAGAGAAACTGCTCCTTACAGGGAATAATTGTCCAGCTGGGAAGCAAGGGGCAACAGGACAGGAACTCCTTGTCCTAAGTCTCATCAGGGCCAGGTGAACTGAGGGAGAGCACATGTTCACTGTCTCATGCCAAAACCCAGAAGAGGCCAAAAAGATAATATTCTTAGTAGCAATGTTCCCTTCCCATAGCAGTGCATTAACTCTGTAGAAACAAGGACTGAGAGAAAGTAACCACCATAATATTAATTCCTTTCTCTAGTGAGAACCAAAAGCTCTAACTCATAGAACAACCACCTTGCTGCTATCTAAGAGAGAAGTAGGAATATGGTGTGTCATGACACTTGTGCTGGGGACACTTTGAACTGAGTAAAGGCAGTATTCTCATTTTTATTGCCCTGATAATTCTATGTCAGTGGACTATATGAATACATATTAAGCAGTGTTATTAAAAAATCCAGCACTTTCTCTCCTGGTAGAATTTATTGTGCTTTGTTTATAGATTCTAACCTGTATGTCTTCAGAGGTCATGTAACATAATCCCAAAGATTTATGTGTCTCTGCCCTCTTTGTGCTGGGTGGGAAATAGAAATCTCTAGGCAAAGACCCTTATGCTTAGGATAAAGAAAGATCCAGTTTCATTATGCCACTGCAGCAGCTGAAAGACCAGAGTCACCGCTGTTCTTCCCGAGCACTATCACTAGTCCATAGACTCTGTCCACTTGTAGTTAAAATGCACTTTGATCCCAGGTCATTCAGGTGGAGAGGGGACACACAGTGTTTTACCTTCACATGCTCCAGCACTTTTTTGCAGAATGGCAAAAACACATTGCTCTAGACCTGTGCAGGCCCCTTCACATCACCAGGACCTTCACCCTAGAAGGGAAACTCAGCGACAGTTCAGCCAGTACTGTTGAAGGGGACTGTGTGTTTATTCTCCTTTATAGGGTTTGTGATGTTCGTGGGCCTACAGTTTTGAGCACTAGCCAGCAACATATTAAGCAATCTAACTAATGATTGTTACAGTTACCCAATATTTTTGCCTCAAAGCAGAGGCTGTATATTTCTTTTTAATAACAGACTTGTGTAGTCCCTAGAAAATGGAGCCCAGATCCTTAGATGCACTAATTCGGTGACTGACATGATTCGTTTCTTTTAAATTATGAGTACTCATGTGGTAGTTTGATGTACTAAGTCAGTCCAATGTTTATTAATAGCTTTCATTTTGTATTTGCTTCCTTATCTTTTTAATAAAGTGAGCATATTACTGAATAAATGTGGTACAGTTTCTCTGATATCACCAAAAACGGATGTGATGACTGAATCATGGCCACAATTAAAATAGAACAGATAAATCCGGAGACTCAACTGAGCAAATCATGAGATTAATATGGCCGATAACTTGTTAAGGGTTATTCAAAAGGTATTTGCTTTGTGGTGCTTTGGCATGAGACAAAGCTGAAGGAGACTATTTCATTTCAGTCCAGGGCTTGAGCTTGTCCTAGGCAGCATGGTGTGGTGACCTAGACAGTAAAGATAACACCAGTTCCTTCTGGTCTTAGGCCCTTGCCAAGTGAGACTGCCCCAAACAGATGGCAATCCATCCTGGTTCATTTAATTTGCCCCTCAGCAGCTTTCTGTGAATCCTCTCTCGTTAAATCTTACTGTTGTTGCAAGTTTCTAGTTTATGGTTCGTTTTTGTTACTTGCCCCTTCCACACAGTAATACAGAATCTGTCAACACAAAGATGCTATTTAAATCCTACACATTAGCATTTTAAATGACATTCCTTGCTGACTGCGGACCATGTGCAGCTGACCGTGGCAAACCCAAAGAGGGGGGAGGAGTAGAAGGAGTTGCTTTTGGGAAATGGTAACAGCTAAGAAGTGAACATAATTAAAAGTTCCCTAAAATGCATGGAGCTTGAAGACACACTTTCATCATGATAAAATGTCATTTAATTTTCTTTGTTTAATTTGGTTTTGGTGTATTAATGTCCTGCGGTTCCCAGGACCCCTGTGATGTGCCCCAGCTGGAGGAGGCAGCATAGCCAGTCTCTGCTGGAAGCTGTCTGTCAGGTTTTTGGGTGGCCTGACCAGGCAGGAGAGGAGAGGCAGTGACACTGATGCTCGCCAGAGAACTGGTGCTTTCCTTCCTTCTGTCCTGCAGTTTTACACAGACATTTCCCAATGAAGTGGCTTTGGAATCCTTGGTGTCCTAAGCACAGTGTGGGGAGGAGGGGACACACTCCCATCACACCGATCACTAGTAGACTCCATATTACAGTGGAAAATCCCATAGTCAAAGAATTTTGTTTGCTGCTTTCCTGCTTAGGTTTTGGTTTGGTTTGGTTTTTTTTTCTTGGAATTGGCTCATTCTGTTGTAGCCAGGTGTTCTTCCAGAAATGCAGATTATGGGGAGGCGATGGGTCCATGCCAGGAAGAAGGGTGTTAATGCCACCACTTAGGTTAATGGACATTAGTTCTGCTGACTGTGAGTCTAATGATCTAATCTGCACAGTCACTGCCTTTTCCTTACAGTTGTTATTCCTCGATCTAAATTAGGAAACTAATAGTTGTAAGATCATAACTTGCTCTAATGACTTTTCACCTAGAATCAGAAGTTGCTTTTGCATGTCTCCAAATAGACTGCTCTTCTAACCAAACAATTAAAATTTTCCCAGCTCAGCTAGAAGCTGAGCCTGTGTCCCTCATGTGAGGCCTAAACTGTATGTAATTAGCTCTTTAATTTCTATTAGAGTATGGAACAGCAATCTAAGGTTCATCAAAGAGAGGACAAATCCTGTAACCTTTACAGGAGCAGTGTTAGTTCCGTGTTAGTGTGATATCAGATTGTGGTCACAGTGGCAATTTACTCAGTAGTAGTTTTGCTGCTTTTTGCAAGGACTCTAACTTCTGATTTTCCTCCAAAATAAATCCCTTTTTCAGAGAGTCGATTCTTGGTGATGATGTAGAGAAAAAAAAACTAACAGTGTGTGTCAGAGTAGAAACCATTCTGAAAGCAGGCAGGAGCCGAGCATGTACCCATCTGTAACATGTGGCTTTCTGTCACTGGAAAAATCTTTTTCTCTTAAGGACAAACCCTTCTTCTGCCCTCATCTCCTTTACCTCACCTCCTTACCAGGAGCAGCACTTCAAAGTGCCACAGGGCAGGTGGGCAGACAGGCTGCAGGGACAGTGGGTCACCAGCCTATTTCTCATTTGTGGAGGCCGAGCCCAGGGAAGGGGCAAAGACGTTCATAAGGCCATGTGAAACTTCTTAGAAATACTTTCCTGTTAACATCTTTTATCGAGAACAGCTGATTGCCAGTGCCCTGGGGAAAGGGTCGATTTAGCTTCAGTAGCTGTTGTGCTTGCCCAATGTTATATTAATGTTTGTCCCTCTCCTTAACATAGGGGGATTGAGGAATGGCACGTGTTGGCTTCTGTATTCAGCTTCTTACTGCAATTAAGTGTTTAAAATATTTTCTTATCCCCTGGTACTATAAATATTTAGACAGCTTATTGTGTGATTATATTTGTGCATGCCTCTTGTGGTACAGGCTGATGAGGATTTAAAAAAAATGTCAAGAAATTGGGGAAAACTGAAAAGGTCCATGAGCTTTTTGCACACTTCCAGGCACATGTTTGTATTGTGTGTAGCACTCTAGGCAGTTACTATACAGCTAGAACATTTCAGAGTTTTCTCTTCCTGCAACAAAATTACGTACTAGTAGTCATTTTTCATTAGACCGCAGTAACCCAGGTGTGCTCTCCATGTTCCAGAGACAAGAGGTGAGTCTCAGTCAGATAAAATCTAGAAAAAATGTAGGCACAGAAACACAAGAGTGGGGGTGATGAGCATGTAGAATCAAA